TTATCATTTTATTACAACCATGAAAAATATATTGAATGACTATTAATATTCCCTACCACGGATGTCGGGTAGTTTATTTTACCTTCCCCTACTGTTCGACATTTTAGGCTGTTTCCACTTTTCCCCCATGAACGCATTTATAATCTTTAACTGACGGTTTATTTCCTCAAGACAAAGTTCTAGAAGTGGAATTATTCGATTTAATCGGTTCCCAGACGCCGGAAGTGACGCCATGGATATCACTCCCCCCACCCACCGTTGCCAGTGTAACACTCCATAGCGCCTCCAACCCGTCCCCGACAGAGGAACTGCAGCACCCGACAGCTTCCACAGCTCGCCCCCCACCGCGGGTAGTGCATCCCCAGATAGTGCCCACAAACGCCCCACTGCCGCTGGCAGTGCTGCTTGGGATAGTACCCCGACCCGCCCCCGACCACGACGAGCGCAAACGCAGGTGGCGCTCCCAACCCACTCCCCTCCACGGGTAGCGACGTGTCACAGAGCACACGACCTGCCCCCCAACACAGGCAGTGACACCCTGGGTAGCGCCCACTGCCAACGGCAGGGCGCCCCCAACCCGCCCCCCACACCGCAGCCAGTGCGGCCTGCGACGGCAAACCTATCCCGCCACCTTTTTACCTTTCCGGCCGCGCTGGCGTCTCCCTCGCCACCACCAACCGCAACAGCCAGGCTAGCCATGACACTGCAGGCTCCAGGCTCCAGCCTCCAGCATACCTAGCAAAAGGCTGGCTAGTTCTCCTTCTGCTGTAAACCAGGCACAGAGCAGCTAAGCAAGCCGTCCAAGAAGGCTCTAGAATGGCGGGACCGCCCTACTTCCCTTCCTTTATATATGGCGTTCATGCAAATGAAGTGCCTGGACTACTTGTTCTGATTGGCTGAGAGAAAACCTCTAGGTTTACTCTAATTGGGCCTTATTTTCATGTTCTGACTGGATGAGAGCAAGTCTTAGGCTAACCAATCAGAATATGAGAAACAAAGTGCAATCGGCGTAGAGGTTTCTCTCATCCAATCAGAACATGTAGTCCAGAAAATTCCTTTGCATAACCTCGGTATCTAAAAGATGCTAAGGGGGAGTTTAACCATTTCTGACTCTTTTGGGTCAGCCCGTTTAGCTGCTCGGTGCCCCTCCGCGTTGGAGGCCGGAGCCTGCAGTATCGTGGCTCGCCTCGCTGTTGCGGTTGGTGGTAGCGGAGGACACTACAACACAGCCAAAAAGGTAAAAAGGTGGCAGGATAGGTTCGTTATCCCAGGCACACTGCCTGCAGCCTCGGGGGCGAGTTGGGGGCGCCCTGCCATGGCCAGTGGACGCTATCCGGGGTGTCACTGCCTGTGTTGTGGGGGCTGGTTGGGTGTGTTATCTAGGGCACCACTACCCGCGAGGAGGAGAGAGAGTTGGGGGCCCTATGAGGGGTGCGCTGCCAGTGGCTAGGGGTGGGTTGGGGCACTATTCCAAGCTGTACTGCCAGCAGCAGTGGGGCATTTTGGGGGCACTATCCAGGGATGCACTGCCCACGGTGGGAGGCGAGTTGGGACAGCTGTCAGGTGCTGCAGTGTCCTTGTCAGCGACGGGTTGGGGGCACTATCGGGTGTTACACTGCCCACGGCGGGTGGGGGGTGTGATATCTAGGGCATCATTGCCTTCTTCTGGGAGCTGGCTGGGGGCACTATCCATGGCTGCATTGCCCACAGCAGGGAGCAGGTTGGGGGCACTATGGTGGTGAGGGACGGGTTAGGGTCACTATGGATGCTACATTGCTGGCGGCGGAGAGAGGGTGTTGAGGGCGATATCAGGGACTACACTGAGTCAGAGGTGGGGGGGGGTTGTTGGGAGCGTTACTGGGGGCCAAACTGCCTGTGGAGAGGGGATGAAGGGTTGGTTGGGGGCGCTACCGGGGCCGGATACACTGCCTGAGTTGGGAGGGGTGGCAGGCAGGTTAGGTGCTATCGGGGGTCTGCACTGTCTGGCAAGGAATGGATGTGTGCTATTCGGGCCACATTGGTTGTGGAACGGGCAGGTTAGGTGGGTGTGCTGTCGGGGGTTACCTGCACTATCCATGGCTGCACTGCCCGAGGTGGGGAAGGAGTTTGGGGTGCTATCTGCACTGCTGGAGGCAGGGAGTGGGTTTGAGGGTGCTATCCTGGGCTGCACTGTTCCCAGCGGGGAGCAGGTTGGGGCGCTATCCGGGGTTGCACTGCCTGCGGTGGGAGCGGGATGGACACCATATGGGGACATCTCTGCCTGCGGCAGGGGTCTGGTTGGGGGCGCTGTGGTTACACTGCCCACGGCAGGGATTGGGTTGGGGGTGCTATCCCGGGCTGTGCTGCCCATGGCAGGGGGAGGGTTGTGGGCACCATCGGGTGCTGCAGGGTCTAAGGCAGGGGCAGGTTGGGGGCTGCCATCAGGTGCTACACTGCCGGCGGTGGGGGATGGAGTGTTGGCACTAACCTGGGGCTAAACTGATGGTGGCGGTTAAGGGACTCTGGGGGGCTGCACTGCCAGCAGCAGGTGATGGAGGTGTCAGTGACAGTGGTGGTCTCTGAGAGAGGAGTGGTCTTCCACTCCCTGGACTCTGGATCCAGACTCTGGAGGGCCATCTCCTGTGTGGCGGGCACACGATTCCATGAAATCCTGAACACAGCAGGGTGCCCAGACCCGCCATGGTTCCCAGGCCTGTGCTCTCTCATTCTGTGTTGCGGAGACCGTCTGGGAAACCTAAGTACACAGTAGCAGACACCACGGGGTGACAGGGCCCTGTGGTGGAGGCCTCAGGAATGGGAACCTGCACTTTGGTGGGGAGGGCTGGCTGGGGCTGAGTTTCTGCTGCTCCTGCTTCTAGAGCGCACCCGGGTGGGCCCAGCAGTTCCTGTGGAGTGGGAAGCCCAGGCACTATGGTGTCTCCAGGCCCCAGCTCCTGGCCAGCTTGGGCCAAAGGAGAGGCTGGACTTTGGAGGGTGGGTGTGAGTGCCTTAGCTGAAACCGGCCCCTGCCAGCCAGTGGCCAGCATGATGAGGTAGGGCTGTAATGCTAGCACTCTCTGCATCCTGTTCTAGGCATTTCTGGCTTTGCCCACCAGCCGTTCGGTGCCAGGAGAAAGAAGAGCCATCTGCCGTATGCTGGAGGCTGGATCCTGTGGCACCTCGGCTCACCTCACTGCAATTGGTGGCAGTCATGGACACTGCAGAGCACTGAAGAGGTAGGAGGGTGGCTGGCTGCCACCAGGGCAGGGACAAGGCTGTGGCGGTGGCCAGGTGGTAAGAGCCTTATAGGATGGGCCTTACCAGAACTGGTAAGGCCACTTCTATTTCTTGTATCTGTTCTTATTTCTCTTCCTCCTCTGTTTTTGTTATCCCAATAACAGCAGTGGTATTGGCATCAGCGGTAGTGGTGCCAGCTGCAGCAAGTCTGGGGGCCGGGAAGGCTGGTAGGAGCACTGCAGGTTGGCCTGGCTTGGGGTGGGTAGGAAGCTGTGGGTGCTGTACTGTGGGCCTCTGTGGCAGCAGCGGTGTCACAGCCGGGACAAGGAGTCTTCCCTGCTTCTCCTGCAGAACCTGGAGGGTGCCCTCCACCTGCTGGAACCCAAGCCAGGCATCAGTGGCAGCATTGTGTCATTAATGAAGTTTGAGGGGTGACTGTGTATCTTTTTGCTTTTTTTTGAGATAGTCTTGGACTTCATCAAATTTCATGAATCAGGGAGAGGTGGAAAGGTATAATAGGCCTCCTAATTCCCTAACCTGTTCTCTTTCCTTTCCTCCAGTCTAGTTTTTCTATTCCTAATCATTTTCTTGTTTGTCTTCATTTCTTATGCTGTTGCTTCTATTTCTTGTATGTTCTTATTTCTCTTCCTCCTCTCTTTTTGTTATCCCAAGCAATGGTCTTTACAAACAATCCAAAACTGAGTTAAAAATAGGATGACTTTTCAGTGTGTTTTATTCCCCCCCACCCCCCCAGATGGAGTCTTGCTCTTTCGTCCAGGCTGCAGTGCAGTGGCATGATCTCGATTCACTGCAACCTCTGCCTCCCGAGTTCAAGCAATTTTCCTGCCTCACCCTCCCGAATAGCTGGGATTATAGGCGTGTGCCACCACACCCAGCTAATTTTTTGTATTTTTAGTAGAGACAAGGTTTCACCGTGTTGCCCAGGTAGGTTCCTTATGTGTCTACACAGTGGCCAGGCCAGTGTGAAGGCATGGGTAATCCATAACTATCATACAGAGATTACTAGTTTATCTTGCAAACTCCCCAGCCAAAAAATTTAAGTTATTGAGATCTCCGATTAAAGAAACATTATTTCATACATTTTCTAGAGGAATTCTACTTTTCTCTACCGTTTCAAATAGCAAAATCTAGAAGATACTCCAATGGGGGGTTTTATTTTAAACTGAGAGGTAAGTTTTAGGAAAAAAATAAATGATTTTCAATTTGACTGGCTGTTCAGATTCAACCAAAGCCTTATTAACCTTTAACTGCAGCCTTTCACATCTTTGAGGTGTCACCGTACATATGAAATTTGATTACATGGCACAAGACTAGTCAACTTGTCAACACAGTGCAGCTGTTAATGTCACAGCTTTGGTCATTTAATGCTTTTATAATAATGCAACCACAAAATGTAAAGATACTCAGTCTTATATGAGGGTTTTCTGCACTGCTGTGCAAAACTTAAAAAAAAAAAAAAAAAATTAGCCAGGCCTAATGAATGAGATACCAGCAGATGCCATGTTGCAAATGAGCAGAAACCCTGCCTTGTATTTAGAGTAAGAAAGGCAGCAAGGCTAGGAAATACTATTCTGTCTTTTGGGTCCCTATTCCTTACACCTCCACATACTCCCTCTTCAGTGTGTGTCCCACTACCCACTCATCTAACAGCCTGATTAAAACCCCTGGGTGCTCTCCAAGTCAGAGGGGTATTTAGGGTTTTGCTCAGTGCAGGGGTGATGTCTAAATGGGTGGATGAATGGACAAACCAAGGGATGAAAGGGAACATTCCAAAACCATATTTAATAGAACTTTCTTCATGACACCTCTCGGAATGTAAACACAGCTTGGCGTAACAAAGTTCCACCTGATGGCTAAAGACTTGTATGACTGCGTAAGGCAGTTTCTTGACACCTACCCACCCCTAACAGATTTTCCTAAAACTCTGTGGAACAGCCAAGGAGAAGGTATATTCCTCCCTTTCCAAAGGTTCCTCTTCTTGGAAGATTATTTTACAAGCACGGGCTCCTGAAAGCAGCAGCCTCCCCGTCAGCCATTTTGGCACGAGCAGTTACAGCTGCACACTTTGGAACCTGTCCTGACTTGAGTCTGACGTTGGAAGAGCATGTCAGTCTACTTCCACTTCACAGAGGGTCAGTGGTGTCTGGTGGCCCTGCTGTCCAAGGTTCTATCCTTTGATCACAGCAATTGGTCTGAGTTTAATGGCTTTCTTGCTGATTCCAGCATCATGGCAGGTATTCACCACATCTGTTACATTCTTGTAGGACTCAGGAGCCTGCAGGAGAGGAATTAAACATTGTACAAGTCCACTGAAAATGCAGTCTTTACAAGCACCAGACTTCGCTTGTGATTAAATAAATGCACACTAAAATAATACAGGGAGTTTTTTTGTCTATCAAATTAGCAAACATTTAAAAAATGAGTAAGCCTAATGTTGGTCAGTGGTAGCTTCCAAAACACTTTCATCTTGTTTTATATTTTTCTGTATTTTTTGAAACGTCTCCAAAGAACATGCATTACTTGTATAACTAGAAAATGTGTAAATGTAATTAAATAAAACACACACCAGTACCTGACTGGAAGGAAATGCACAAAACCATCATATGTTAGTAGTAATTATCTCTTGATGGTGGAATTATTGGCAATTTTAATTTTCTTTCTTTATATATTTATGCAGTTATCAACATTTTTGGAATGAACATCTAGTACCCTCAAAGTAAGTTATAAAATTCATATATGTATAAAACTGTATGTGTGCATGTGTATATGTGTGTATATATGTGCAACTACACTCACATACAATTTCTGTGACTTTCTAGTCACATTCCCACCCTTCCATCCTACCCATACTGCCTTGCCACCATTAGCACTAATCTCCTCACACACTCACTTTATCTTTATTCATGTCATTACAAGCTTAGACCATCCAGACTGATTCCCATACTGTTCTTTACATAATACCCTTTTCTATCCCATCTCCCATTCCCTTCCAATGTCTGAAACCTTCCCACTGTGGCCTCTGGAACTCCTTCCCTTTAACATTCCCTTCACCTTCTCGTTTTACTGAAACATGGATCTTTCTTCAGGATATCACCTTCACATGAACTCCAACTTTCTGAAGTGGTAGCTGTTTTCTCTCCCAAACCAGGTCATGCCATTGGTCCCAGAAGTGGGACAGGTGGCTGTTTTCTGGCTTTCATGGTTGTTTCTATTCTCCCTTTCTCCCTAGGCACTCCCAGTTTTGAATCTTGCAGTCATTACATCATACCACAAACTATCTTTGGCTACAGTTATCTGTGGGAGCCTCAGTCGATCCCTAGCATTACTTGATTCTAGCTCCTGGCAATCAGATAAAATTCCACTGGGCCAATGACTTTCTCTCTCTCTCCAGATGAGTATTTCATACCTTTTCTCAGATCCTTACTGTCACTTGCTGACCTTACTATGTAATACACTGAAAAAAAAAATAGAAGCAGCCAGAATATTCATAAATGTGCTCACTTTATCTTCCCCACATATCTGTATCTATACCTTCTCTCTTTTTTTGACAGGGTCTTATTCTGTCACCCAAGGTTGAGTCCAGTGGCACAATCACAGATTGCTGCTGCCACCAACTCCTGGGCTCAATCGATCCTTTTGACCCAGGCTTCTAAGTCATTGAGACTACAGGCTAATTTTTTTAAATTTTTATAGAGATGGGGTCTTGCTTTGTTGCCCAGGCTGGTCTCAAACTCCTGGCTTTAAGCAATCTCACCTCAGCCTCTCAAAGTACTGGGATTACAGATGCCAGCCACTGTGCCCAGCCTCTTCTCTCCTTTTATAAAGGATGGATTATTTGTGCTCCTAGCAAAGACCAACTCTATTAACTTGTACATCAGACCCTATCTCTATTCAAGGAGACTTCTCCAGCAATTTCCTCCCTCTTTCCTTCATCATTCATTTCTCTTGTAGATTCTTCTCATTAACATGAAAACACATTTGTCAGATCATGTCACAATTCTGTTCAAAATCCTCCAAAAGTTTTCATTTTAATCAGAGTAAAAGCAAAAGTCCAAATGCTCTGGCGCCCCCTACCTCTCTGACCTCATCTCCCTCTGGCTTGCTCTTGTCATGCCTGGCCTTAGGCTGCTTGGGCGTAACCTCGGCTCACAGATTTTGTGCTTGCTGTTCTCTCTGCCTTGCTGCTCTCAGATACCCGACGAGCCTGTTTCTTCCCTCTTCAGGTCTTTGCTCTATTGTCACATCACTGAAGTCTTCTCCAACCACCTGTTTAAAACTGTCCCCCTCCCCACCTTTCCTTACCCCTTTCCCTGCTTTATTATTATTTCACAGAACTTGTATGGTCATTAACACACAGTATATTTTGTTATTTGGAAAGCTCCACAAGGAAGGGATTCATGTTTCTTTTGTCCACTGCAGTATCTCTAGCACACAGAAAAGTACCTAACTAGAGCAGATGTTCAATAAGTGTTAGCTGAATAAATGAATGAAACAATCGTGTTGCAGGTGAAAAAAACAAAACCAAACAACTAAAAATCCAAATGTTAACTGTAGTTATTCCTGGCTGATTGAATTCTAAATGTTTTCTGTTTTCTTCCTTGCATTTTCCAAATCTTTTAAATTAAACATGTATTCTTTAGGGGAAAAATTAATAGTTATTTAAAAAATAAGTCTTTGTCATACTCTGAGTCAGTAGTTCACTTTTTTTCTTTTTTCTTTCTTTTTTTTTTGAGATGAGTCTTGCTTTGCCATCCAGTCTGGAATGCAGCAGCACAATCACATAGCTCACTGTAACCCCAAACACTGGGCTCAAGCTATCCTCCAGCTTCAGCCTCCTGAGTAGACAGGTAGCTGGCTAATCTTTGCCCAGACTGATCTTGAACTCCTGGCCTCAAGAGATCTTCTTGCATTTGCCTCCCAAAGTACTGGAATTATACGCATGAGCCACCATGTAATTCCCACTTTTGAGACTTTGTTCTAATTACTAAAACAACTGGAGAAAAGCTTCATGCATGAAGATACTCATTAAAATTTTAATTTATAGTAGCAAATATTTGAAAGCTACTTAAATGTCTACTACAGGGAGAAAGATACTCTGGTGGAATATTCAGCAATGATTTTAAAAAGCGACACAAACAATTTCATAACATTGTGCTAAATTTTTAAAAGAACTACAAAATGCGTATTAATTATAATTATGACTAGCTTTAAAAAAAGCATTTAGGAAAAAAGTATGACAATAAGTATTTCTTTCTCTTTTTGAGACGGAGTCTTCCTTTGTCGCCCAGGCTGGAGTGCAGTAGCGTGATCTTGGCTCACTGCAACCTCCGCCTCTTGGGTTCAAGTGATTCTTCTGCCTCAGCCTCCCAAGTAGTTGTGATTACAGGCATCCACCACCATGCCTAATTTTTGTATTTTTAGTACAGATGGGGTTTCATCTTGTTGAATAGGCTGTTCTCAAACCCCTGACCTCAAGTGATCCACCTACCTCGGCCTCCCAAAATGCTGGGATTACAGGTGTGAGCCACCACACCCAGCTGACAATAGTAAGTATTCTAAAAGATAACGTAATAACTATGTCAGGGCACTGAGTTTCTGGAGGGCTTTCTTTTCTCTTAAATCTTTAAGAAAGAAATTATGTTGCTTTTAATTTAAATATGTACATATGTATACACATATATACAGAATTTAAATACAATCTGTTCTCCTGTGAATCAATAAAACTTTCCCCAAACATTTATGCCTTCCTTTCCAAACTTGCTTTCAAATTGAAACCTAAGTATACAACTGTATAAAAGCAAGAGTCAGCTCAAACTACTTTTGAAAAGCTTAATATGGAAATGGAGATTATATATAAATAGTGAAAAATCATTCTTAAGGACTTGGCTCATAATTTAACTCTAACCAAAAGAAAACAAAATATAAAACTGAAATAAGATAAACCAAAAAAGATATGCCAAAATTAAGGTCATTAAAAAAAGTAACAACCCAAACAATTTCTGTTAGTAATACCCCAAACTGCTATCTCTGTAGACTGGCATAAATTACAAATGGGGAATAATGAATATTTATCAAAATTTCACTTACCTCTTCCATAACCAGTTTGGGTGAAGCAACACGGATTGCAATTCCCATATCTGCCAATTTGTCTAAGACATCCTGGAAATCTAAATTACGTCGAGATTTTGCTCGGGACAATGCACGGCCCTAGAATGGGAAAGGAATGAACTTTACTTTAAACCCTAAGATTATAAGCCCTTTCCTTGATTTTCTCTTAAACTAAAAAGGAGCTTAAAAACCCATCTTTTTTACTTTATCAAACTGATAACATGCCTTTTGTTTTAAGGCTCCTCATATCGTGGATTTTGGACCACAGAATTCTTTGTTGGGAGGCTGTCCTGGGCAGGGCAGTATCCCTGGCCTCTACCCCCTAAAATGCCAATAGCAACTCCCACTAAACCGTGACAATAAAAAAATGCCTCCAGAAATGGCCAATGTCCCCATGGGGGTAGGGGGTTCATCTTCCCGTTGAGAACCACTGGGTTAAAATTAGGAGTTGGGAGGCAGCTAGAAATGAGAAACAATCAGAGAAAAAAGTAGGGTCAAGATACATTTGTGAACATCTGTCCTATGAGAAGGTATTCTAGACAGTTTCTCTTTCCCATTTCAACACTGGGTCAACACTCTGGATGGCTTAGAAAAGAGGCTGTCAAACTACAGTGGATGAGCCAAATTTGGCACACCATCTGCTATTTAAAAGAAATGATTTCGTTTTTTGAGAAAGGGTCTCCCTATGTCAGCCAGACTGGAGTGAAGTAGCATAATCATAACTCACTGCAGCCTTGATCTTCTGGGCTCAAGCAATCTTCCTGCCTTAGCCAGGACTATGGGTGTGTCACCACACCTGGCTGATCAAAAAAATTTTTGTAGAGACAGTGTCTTGCTAATGTTGCCCAGTCTTGAAGTCCTGGCTTCAAGTGCTCCTCCTGCCCTGGCCTCCTAAAGTGCTATAATTACAGGTGTGAGCAACCATGCCTGGTCTAAAATAGTTTTATGGGAACACAGCAGTGCCCATTTACATAGTGTTTAAGGTTGCTTCTGCACTGAAATGGCATAGCTGAATAGCTGGTACTGAGACCATCTGCTCCCCAAAGCCAGAATATTCATAGTCTGGCCCTTTATGGAAAGAATTTACTGACCCCTGGGCTTAGAAGATGAGAGGCAGTGTTTTGAAATGCGTGTGTGTATAGACTGCACACAGGCTCTAATTTGCAAATAGGGCCTATCCTTCCAATCCTGAGTGGACCTACAACAGGAAGGGGCAAATTAAACAAATGAGCAGGTCCAGTCAATCACTGAGATAAACTGTGCTATTAACATCAGTTAAAGTTCCATCACTTTAAACCAGTTACAGTAAGCTCAGCCAGTGTAATAATTTCCCAGTCTGGATTTTCGGGACTTGTGGAGATAAGAAACGGTCCCTAACCCTACCAGACATTACTTAGGTAAAGACACTAGGTGCCCTGTCAGTTCACTAAATAGCATACATTATGGGGAACAATTTGAAGTACAAGACAGGATAGACACAAGTCTCAATTCTGTTAATGTTCAATCGGCTACGTTTACCAGTCAAAATGGAAAACAATAGCTAAACTGAGGAGAACATTTCTAAGGAAGTTTCTGTTTTCCTTACCGCTCCATGACAGGTTGTGCCAAAGGTCTCAGTCATGCCCTGTTCGGTGCCAGTAAGAACATAACTACAGGTTCCCATGGTGCCACCGATGAGCACTGGTTGTCCAGTGAGCTGAGGATGCACATAAGCAAACATGTTAAAAACCAGAAAAGCATAAGCTTTTTAGGCAAAAAAATTAAATTTTCTTCTGCACTGTAGAATTGCAGGAGAAACCCAGACCTCTAAACATACAGCTTGTAAACAATTATTAAGACAGTACTTTGATAATTCAGAAGTGAAGGAAGAGGACAAGAGTGAAAATGGGAGGACCAGTAAAAATGCAGAAGACAGGAGTCAAAATAAGAGCGAAGTGAAATCCGAAAGTGTAGGGAAGTGTTACTGGAAAAACCATCCTAAGGAAAGGAATTTTCTTCTCTGTTTTGGGTTTCTCATCTGTAAAAGGTGCAGGCAGACTATGGGGTCTAACTCCACCACAGCCAGACACTAAGAGGATAGCAGGAATGAAACAGGCTGAGTTTACTCTGTCTTCTGTAACTGAGTTACTCCTGTCTTCTGCTAATTCAAAGGCCTCAATTCACAGTAGTGGAGTAATATATACTTCATACAGTACTTTCTAGTTAGCACATGGCAACACTGTAAGCACAAATGATGCGGGGAGGAGTTACTGCTTCAGAGAAGATTGGGAATCACTGTTCTCATGGGTGACACAATATTTTATTTTCACAATTGCTGCTTTTCAGTTTAAATGTAATTTACATTTGCAACAATCTAAATCATACTCCCGCTGCTTAAAACCACAAACACAGGGCTACGTACTTGGTAATCAACAGCAATGAGTGGATGGTGAGGAGGGAACGCGCGGGTGGATCCCTTCCTGTGTACTAACAGTGTCCGTTCCTTTCCATCCACTACATGCTGCTCCACTTTGGCAATGTTGTGAGAAACATCATAGATCACGTGGAGATCCAAGTCATCAGGGGTTGTGTTGAAGACCTTGGCAAAAGCCTAGGAGAAAATGTAGAAGTTAAAAGCAGCCAGAACTTCAGACTGATCTTCAGCTCTTTGTGACTTATCTTATTGATTTCAGGTAGTCTGTTCTGAACAGGGTAAGAGATTTAAATTTCAAAAATAGCAGTAAGATTATCTTTACGTAAAGAACAAAAGCTGTCTTTTAGACCACACAGCAAATGCCACCACATCGTTTTCCTCTTTGGTTAAAAAGCTGCCTGGCTACTTTTGATCCCACCCTTCAAAATTGCTTCTTCCCCAGCCTTCTGAATCTTAGTCAGTGGTACTCCTATCCTCTGTGCTGTTCAAGACAAATTCTAGGAATAATTTTGATTCTCTTCTCTCATTCCTTATGCCTGATACTCTGATTATTTGGTTTAAGATGACACCAAAACCAAACACCATAGGCTTTGATTGAACTGCACTATGTTTTAAAGCACTTAACTTCATCATGAATGACTCAGACAGAAAAGCAACTTCAACTGTACCTGCCGGGTTAAGAAGGTCATGGAAGAGCGGTTGACCCAGGCATAGTTCCCAGCTGCTGCCATTCCCTTCAGGTAGTCTTGACCCTCTGGGGAAGCGATTCGAGCACAGGCCAACTGCCGATCATTGACTATAATCTTGTCTCTCTTCATGGCCTTCTCCATAGCTACCAGAGCATCTGGAATGAGAGCAGCAAAGTCCAAACCAGTTAGGTTTCCCTTAAATGAAGAGTTCCGATTTACTGCAGAAAGGCAGACTACATTCAAACTCATTCCACAAAAAATCAAGCGAAACACAACTTTCCCTTTGTTTCTGAGTTCATCTATTTGCTCGGCCAAGATGAATGTGAGAATCTTTAAGAGTGCAGTGACAGTATGTGGGACACAAAGTCAACATTCATCCTTTTGGAACTTGAAAGAGAATGGGATGTGTAAACAAATAGCCACAGTATGATCTCAATTACTCCTTTCTCAGTATGCGAATGAATGAGAGTAGTAGCAGTAAAATACATTGTGTTACCATCATGGTTAATCAAATTCATGACAAAGTGCAGAGAAGCACTCAGTGGAATGCTCTGGAATACTAGTAGACACTTCATGTATCTGCTAGATTAAATAGTCTAAAGGGTCAGGCTGGCACAAATTATTAAATTCTCACACAAGAAAATGGACTAGAGGCTGATCTGTAACATGAAATTTAAAGCTTATGGTAATTTCCAGGTGTCTATATACCTTTTCATTGATGCATAAACTCTTTCACACATCCTCTAAGTTATCCAAAAGGACCTATCCATTATTCCTCTGTTTCCTGCTTTTGTTCATGCTGCCTTTTTGTCACCAATGTTCTTTGTGTGTAATTGTCCAAACTGTTTTTATCTCATGGATACCATTTGTAGTCTGTCAAAGCTCAACACTGGATCCATGAAGCCATCTCCAAAATCTTTTTCCTAAATGTGTTTTGTCTCCCCTATATTATTAATTGCTACCTTTTAATATTTACTTTTCCTTCTAAATGAACATGACCTTTACTTCATGAGACAATGTGAGTACAAAGTATCTGCCTATTTCGTCAGCAAATTCACCATAACACCTAATGTTGCAGAGCAGGTATATAATACATACATCATTTGCTAAATGAATGCCTACTTCATAAATTCTACTGTTTAAATATTTTCTTGCTCTTTCTTGGCCAGATAGTAACACTTCAGAGTAAATATAACGATAACTGCAACTAACATTTATTGAATGCTTACTGTCAGACACTGATTTAAGTGCTTTACATATATTATTAACTTTCCATGATAATCCCATATAAAATAATTATTATACTCATTTTTTTAAGACAAGAAAGTTATAACCCAGTGAAGTTAATTTGTTTGTTATTTAATTATTGAGGACTCAGGATAAAACCCATGCAGTATATTTCAGGGTTTTTGTTCTCTTAAATTTCTATGTGGTTGCCCATAAAATGCACATTTTGGTATGAAGTCTAGAATATACCTGTGGCTACTTGGTGGCCCAGGCCTCTGCTTCCACTGTGGATCATCACACACACCTGTCCCTTATGGTCGATGCCCATTTTCTTAGCAGCATATTCATTGAAAATCTCATCCACAACCTGGATTTCTGCATAATGGTTGCCTGCTCCCAGGGTCCCCAACTGCAAATGTAAAAATGTCTGATAAGATAGTTTTTATTCTAGTTTTTGTTTTAATCTATTTAAAAACCAAAAAGATAAAAACAAACAGCAAAATAACAAATAGTGTTCCAGTAACAAAAAAATTCCTAAGCTGTACAAGTGCCTCGTTTACAACAATAGTCTACACAACAAAATCACGTAGACTAGCTCCTGAATTTTGTTATATCTTTATATGCTTGGTATACAGATATAAAAAAACACAGGAACAGAAAACCAAACACTGCATGTTCTCACTCATAAGTGGGAGCTGAACAATGAGAACACATGGACACAGGGAAGGGAACATCACATACTGGGGCCTGTCGGGGGATGGGGGGAAAGAAGAGGGAAAACATTAGGACAAATACCTAAAGCATGTGCGGCTTAAAACCCATATAATGGGTTGATAGGTGCAGCAAACCACCAGGGCACATGTATACTTATGTAACAAACTTGCACATTCAGCACATGTATCCCAGAACTTAAGAGTAAAACAAATTAATTTAAAGAAAAAAGCTTCATTAAAAAAACAAGCTTTTAAATGGTTCATGGGATATTTTAAACATCACAAAGAGTCAAATTTTGGGATAATGTTGGCAAATGTTGACACTTAGACAAGATCCAAGTTCAAATGATTTTTAAAACACCTACGAGTTCATGGACATCCACCATTATCTATAACTGAAAGAACATATACGACAACTAGAGCTAATATCAATAGATGATTTAGAGAACCAGAGAATGTCAGTTCTGGAAGCGTCTTTAGAGGTTGCCTAGTTTTTTTTTTTTTTTTAATTGCATTTTAGGTTTTGAGGTACATGTGAAGAACATGTAAGATTGCTGCATAGGTACACACATGGCAGCGTGATTTGCTGCCTTCCTCCTCTCCACCTGTATCTGGCATTTCTCCCCATGCTATCTTTCCCCAACTCCCCACCCCCTGATGTCCCTCCCCTATTTCCCCCCCAACAGACCCCAGTGTGTGATGCTCCTCTCCCTGTGTCCATGTGTTCTCATTGTTCAACACCCACCTATGAGTGAGAACATGCGGTGTTTGATTTTCTGTTCTTGTGTCAGTTTGCTGAGAATGATGGTTTCCAGGTTCATCCATGTCCCTACAAAGGACACTAACTCATCGTTTTTGATGGCTGCATAATATTCCATGGTGTATATGTGCCACATTTTCCCTGTCCAGTCTATCATCGACGCTTTTTTTTTTTTTTTTTGAGGTCGCCTAGTTTTAACCATCCCAGTTTTCTAGAAGAAATTGAGATCCAGAGAAGACAGTCTTGCCCACGTGTCACAGTGAATTAGTGGCAAAGCCTTCATAACTAGCTGTAATTTCAAACATCTAGTATATTCTTATCTCATGGGTACCATTTGTAGACTGTCAATGTATATATATAAATAATTTTAACATATAAACCTTATAAATATATTCTATTTTTCTCCAATTCACTTTGAACTCATTATTTATTTTATGAAAATTTGCAAGCTCCTGATTGCTCTGTCACCCAGGCTGGAATGCAGTGGCATGATCACAGCTCACTGCAGCTTCAAACTCCTAGGCTCAAGTGATCTTCTATCTTAGCCTGTGAGCAGCTGGGATTACTGGCATGTGCTTTTTTTTTTTTTCCAATGTTTTTAGAGACAAAGTCTCCTTCTGCTGCCGAGGCTAGTCTTGAACTACTGGCCTCAAGCAATCCTTCTTCAATGGCCTCCCAAAGCAGGTGTGAGTCACCGCATCCAGCCCTGATAGTTTTTTTTTTTTTTAAATATAAATGAAGCATAAACACATTTGTACTTTTTGATATACCATAAAGAAACCTGGGAATATGTTTGCTAAATGTAAGATATAGATTTTTTTCCCCCAACAAAAACAAAATATGAGAAAAAAATTAACATGTTGCCCCTCCAAAGTGATTACCTGAGGAAGGCCTCTTTTCTTAGCCCTTGGAGAGACCTTATTGGGGTCTGCCTGCAGCATCCTTCCATACTCCTCACAGTGCTCTTTGTCTTCAGCCCAGGCATACCCTTCTCTTAAGGACCAGTCCACCCCCATCTCCAAGGCCTCCTCCAAGTCTCTGGGTGAGTATAAAAGGTGCTAGTCATTTCACAGCAAAGGCAGATCAAAACCTAAGGATGACCACATCTTTAAAGGGCAGAGGAAAACTGGGCATTTACTATCTCCTGTGTTCCTTGAGTCAGATACAAAGTTTAAGCTCTTCATAACTGTTTTTTTTTTTTGAAGAATGCAGTCACATAAATAATTGCAATATAAAATAGTAAATGCCTTATTAGATATGATTATAGTTCTACTTGACACTTATACGGCTCTTTGTTAATTTTCAAGTCTTTTTTATATTCAGTTTGCCTCTCTGATCCTGAATTCCATGAGGCAGTGATTAAGCAGACAAAAAATAAATAAATAAATAAATAAATCCAAAACTTTGTAACCTTAATCAGCTATCACTCTCTACCACTAATTCGACCAGCTACACAACTTGATTAATAATTTATAAAGAATTATGGTCAAATAAATGAAGGTATCTAGAATTCCTCAAACAACACAGGTTAATTTTTTTTTTTTGAGACCGAATCTCTCTCTGTTGCCCAGGCTAGAATATAGTAGCACGATCTCAGCTCACTACAACCTCTGCCTCCCAGGTTCAAGTGATTCTCCTGCCTCAGCCTCCTGAGTAGCTGGGTCTACAGGTGCACGCCACCACACCTGGCTAATTTTTTTTGTACTTTTAGTAGAGACGGGGTTTCACCACGTTAAGTCAGGATGGTCTTGATCTCCTGACTTCATGTTCTGCCCACCTTGGCCTCCCACAGTGCTGGGATTACAGGTGTAAGCCACTGCACCCGGCCAACAAGGTTAAATCTTAAGCTCTATTCACATCTTCACAAAAGTTCTGAGTGACTTACTGCACCTCCATTTTGAAGCTGAGGTACACATACATTAAACCCTTAGTGGGAACAAACTTTAACCTTCATCCAAGGTCCAGCTGTTTTCCAAAACACTGGCAGGAAAAACTACGCTTTTCAGTGTTCTCTCCCCACTACCCCAGATGACAGCCCATTTCAATATTATTTTTTTTTATTATTTTTTACTGCTGCTTGCAGAGCCAGGCTACCCCATAGGCACTGTGCCCAGAGTAGCCTCATTTCAGTATTATTTGGAAAAAATTCCTATGTAAAATGTTTGCAAAGATGTTTGAAATTTGTGTGTTCCAAGTATGCTTTTCAAACTGGGGCTGCGTGTCAGGGATCACGTGAAATCACAGACCAAGTATCTTTTAAGTATATCGATTTTACTTCAAGTGTGTGTGTGTGTTTTTGTTTGGGTAATTGGGAGGAGTTTGCTTTATCTTTCAAATTTATGTGAATTCTGCATTCGAATCAAATGTGTACATAATAGAGAAAACATGTTTTTAGCTGTTACTTGTAACAGCTAAACGTTAAGTAACAGCTTTAGTTGTAACAGCTAAAAACATGTTTTTCCTATTATGTACACGTTTGATTCAATTGCAAAATTCATATAAATTTGAAGGATAAAGCAAAATATTAAAGAAAAATACCTAGCATGCTATTCTGCTATTGAAGTACTCTGCAAAATTTAGGGTACACTGCTTTGCATAAGCTATGACACAGTAAAGTCTATGGCCATCTGAGAGATACACTATAGCATTATATTTAATTCTCTACTTACCCAAAGAACACATCTTGCTATCATTCAAAAAGGAAGGTTGTGGTTAAATAGACTAATGACAGTGGGATTCCGAATATAGTTTCTGAAGTCAAAGGATCTTTGGTTTGAATACTGCTATCACCTACTAAGATTTAAAAAAAAAAAAAAAATGCAGACAGCATCACTCTGTTGCTCAGGCTGGGGTGCAGTACTGACATGGCAACACACTGCAGCCTTAAACTCCTGGGCTCGCAAGGGGTCCTCCCACTTCAGCCTCCTGAGTAGGTGGGACTACAGCGCAAGCCACATGCCCAGCTAATTTTTTTTTTTTTTTTTTTTTTAAGAGACAAGGTCTCACTATGTTGCCTAGGTTCATCTTTTACTCCCGGACTCAAGCAATCCTCCTGCCTTGGCCTCCCAAAGTGTTGGGATTCTGTAAACCCAACCACGCCTGGCACTAAGCTTATTACCTCTCTAAACCTCAGTTTTCTTTCTTGTAAGTTCGGGAAAATAATAGGGTTATTGTCTAGATGAACTGATACAATCAATGCTCAGTGCCTTCCACATAGAAAGTGCTTGATAAACGTTGGTGGATATGATTTTATTATAAATACTACTCTAATGTCAAAGGCAATTATAACATCAGTTGAATAATGTCTCCAAAAAATATGCTGAACCTCCTGCTGAAGAAACAGTTCTTACTACTTCCTGAAAAGTAACTGAACAATCCTCATCTCTCAAGTATACTGCACTGGAAAGGAAGCTGAAGGTCATGTGGTTACTATCTCTCCCATTCCGTTTACTGGAAATGTGTGCTCTTACTTGGCATTCATGGGGATGACACCTTTTGATCCTACCCCAACAGGAATGTGGTCAAACATAGCTTGGGCAAGTTGCTCCTTCACAGGCTGGACATCACTTTCATCTAAATTGGTTCTTAGCAAGCGGACACCACAGTTGATGTCAAACCCGACACCACCTACAAAATAGAGAAAAGTTAGCAAAACCAGGAGGTCAGGCACTGTTACCTTCAGTTTCTCACCATTAATATAGGGCTAGAAAGATACCCATTCTTTTAAATATAACTATTTTTTAAAGTAGACAACAAAGCGGTTCTCTGTAAAGCTTGATGACACCGAGATAATCTAAAGTAAGATACATGCTAAAGGCACTTTATGGGCCAGGGAGGCAGCAATGAGCAATGAGTAACATGTAAACAAGAGATCAAAATGTGCTTCTCTTTTTTCTTGACTACTGCTGTCAGGGGTTGATGAATTTTTTCAGTCTTTACAAATGATCAACTTTTGACTTTGTTGGCTCTTTCTATCATATATCTTTACATTTCATTAATTTTACTCCTATTTCCATCCTTCTACTTGTGTAGGGTGTAATTTGTTGTTCTTTCTTTAACTTTCTAAGATCACTGATATTCCAGCCTTTCTTCTTTCCTAATTTGCACATTTAAGGCTACATGTTTCCATTCAGAAAGGACATTAACAGTAACCTCAAATTTTTAGACATAAGGACTTTCATTTTTTGAGGCAGAGTCTTGCTGTCACCTAGGCTAAACTCTCATTGCAGCCTCTACCCTCCCAGGCTCAAGCAATTCTCTCCCCTCAGTCTCCTGAGTAGCTGGGACTACAGGTGTGTGCCACCACACCTGACTAACTTTTGTATTTTTTGTAGGAATGGGGTTTCACCATGTTGCCTAAGCTGGTCTCAAACTCCTGGGCTCAAGTGATCCTCCTGCCTCAGCCTCCCAAAGTGCTGGAATTACAGGTGTGAGCCACTTTGCCCAGCCTGTAAGCATTTTTTAAACCATTTACCCCCAGCTTGAGAGATGACTGGCAAATAAATGGCAAATAAAAGCTGTATATATTTAGGTATACACAATGTACATATACATTGAGAAATAATTACTATAATCAAACTATTATACTCATGATCTCACAATTACTTCCCTTCTGTTTTTTCTGGTGAAAACATTTAAGATCTATTTTCTTAGAAAATGTCAAGTAAACATGTGGGGGAGGGGATGAAGATAGTCCTCAAAGAACAGGACCCCAGACTCAGAGCTTCTCAGAAGACAGAAGGTGGGCTTCTCTTCTCCCTCTTGGGAACAGGTCCTGGAGCCCTCTGCAGGTCACTGGCCACCTGGCCTCACACACTCCCAGGCTGGGCCCTGTGGGTCTGTCCCATGAGTGGTTCTTTAGTATGGTCCAGAGACCCTGGGGTGGGAGTTAGGGGGAAGACCATTTCAGGTCTGTAAGATTCATTTTATAATACTAAGACATTATTTGCCTATTTTATTCATATTCTCCCATGACTGTACAGTGAGATTTTTTCAAAAGCCTATACAACATAACATCTTTGTTCTAATGGATAATGAAGCATGTACTTATGTATTCCTGTCTTAAAAATTTTGTTTTAATTTCTAATAAGGTAAACATTGATAAGAGTCTTTGAGCTCAATCCTCAATAATTTTTTTTAAAGTGGTCCCGAGTGCAAAAAGTTTGAGAACTGCTGGTGTATATGACTTCAGTTCTTTGAAATCTGACACCTGCTTTATGGCTCAGCACGTGGTCAGCTTTGGTAAACTCTGCACTGCCTGGCTGCACAGCATGTGCACATAAACACACAACCACACATATATATTAGAGGTCAAGGTGTCAAGTTTGTTATTGGATCATTCAAATAATGTATATTCGTACTGACTGAAATTTGTAGTCACCTCAAAACAGCCCTACATGTAGGGCTCACCTATCTGGACCTTTTCTTCTTTTCCTCTAGATCTTGACCATGCAAATTCTTATTGCCTTGGCAGATTTTCTGTGTCTTCAAACAGATTTAAGAAAAAATATTTTATCTAGCCTTTCTGATTATTTTCAGCAAGGGATTGGTCTGAAACAACCTAGTCCACCACTGCTAGAAGCAGAACTCTCAAGATGTCATTTAAACTTCGTTTATAAATTGACACTCTTTAACAGCAATTACTTCTGGTATAGAATGTTTTCATTGAAAGCACCCCATAACCACAGCAGAAGGTGTACACAACCTTCTGTATATTCAATGTTATCACTGAATAACAACGATAATATTACTGAATATGTTCTATGTGCTTAGCACTGTTCTAAAATATTTTACAGAGCTGAACTCATCTACTCTACTAATAATGTGTGGTCATTAATGCAAACTGTCCATGAGGTAACTGAGCTACACAGATTAAAAAAATTTGCCAGCTTGCTTAATACTGTGACATTTGGTAGAAGCCTCCCAAAATTTTCAATAAAAATATGCTTTGCTTGATGTTTTAATAGACTCTCAGTATCCACAATTAATACTTGCAGTAAATGTCAAAGAAAAAAACGACAGAACACGATGAGACTGACTCATGCATATGGGAAGAAGTGCTCTGTTTCCCAAAGGCTGTGGCCCATAGAGAAAAGCTACACACTTAACAGCAGACACGCACAGTGACCTTACCTGGGGATACCACTGCTTCAGGGTCATTCATATCAAAGGCTGCCATATTTCCAATGGCAAACCCATATCCTGAATGGACATCAGGAAGCCCAATAGATCGCTGAAAGAGAATTAGAAAATAAATACAGAGGTTTTGACCTGCCACGTGGTTGCCTGATGGACCTGACACTGATTCTCAAGCTGCAGGCTGAATCTTCCTAAATCAAGACTGTTTTCACGAAATCTTTATTGATGGAAATCATTAAGAATGCCTAATCACAAAGCTAAATACAGTGAGAAAAAAACCTTTTTATAAGTTCTAAATGTTAATTAAGGAAATCCAAAACAGAAAAGCCTCAAAATAATATGACACAGGAGTAACAAATACTAAGCTTAAAGTACTATTACATTTAAAAAATAATCTTAAGACATTGACAAACTGTGCTTTGTCAGGTTATGAAGAGGAAAATAACTGATTTACATAGGTCATTAGTTTAAGTAATCACAGACAAAAGTAATCCATTTGATGGTATAAAGACTGTAGACTTTCTACACATAAAGCCTAGAAAAGGTACCTGGCCCAGGAAGAATGCAGGTCAAACACAGCATATATGGAGACACCAGACACTAACAAGTTCCTTATACGCACAAGCCATACCATTTCATTCCCCCTACCAAGTGCCCAACACGGTAACTGGCATAAAGAAGACCTCAAAAATGTCTGCTGAATAGATCCATTTTCAATATCCACCTCTAATGACAGAATATGAGTGTTAGACTGTGGTGGGGGCTTATGAATAGCTATGGTGTTCTCTCTTCCTCCCCTCAGTCCTCACCCTTAAACTTCTTTCCATTTCTTCTTCAGTGATCCTCTTGATAGAGCCACAGTGAAACTTACAATGGTGGTACACTGATCCAGGAATAATGATGTTACCATGATAAAGAAACAAGAAAACATAAAACGACTTCAAAGGTTCTTGAACACTTATAGATTCTAGCCAAAGGCATCCAGAAAGTGAAATGCCATCCGGATTCAATTATTTCTTTAGGTCCATGGTTATTTCTTTCTATTTTTTATTTCTAGAGACAGGGTCTCACTGTTGTCCAGGCTAAAACGGTAGTGGCATGATCATGGCTCGCTGCAGTGTCAAACTACTGGGCTCAAGCAATCCTCCCACTCAGCATTCTGAGTAGCTGGGACTACAAGCATGTGACATCACATCTGGCTAATTTTTTTGGTAGAGACAGGGTCTTGCCATGTTGCCCAGGCTGGTCTTGAACTCCTGGGCTCATGCACTCCCTCTATCTTGGACTCGCAAAGTGTTGGGAGTGGCATGAGCCACTGAGCCTGGCTTCATGGTTATGTCTGGCTGTCCAGCGGTCACTGTTTAAATAACACCACTATCAGGCATGGCCATTCATTCATTCAGTGGACTTTGAGAAACATAAATGATTAAAGCTCTGAACTCTGACTCACATGAACAATTCCAGGCAGGGCTGCCACATTGCCAATCTGTTTCATGGCTGGCAGGAAGCCACCAACACCTGAAGACAAAAATTGAGTGTTAGAAAAGATGACAAACTTGATTTTTAGCATTGATTATATTCATATTTTAGACTGTAAAACATGAAGAGGTAGTCACTAGGGCTACTAAGACAACAGAGGCTAGAAGGATGTTTGAGATGCAAGGTGGAAGAGAGCTTCTTCAAGAAGGAAGTACACACACAGAAAAGATAGTCACAAACGAGCTGTCAGTATTCTGCATATCCCATGAGAAGGTTGCTTGCAAATGTTGAACTGGGAGATTTAAAATATAACAACCAAATTTTACGGTATTAATATTCTAAAAAATATTTCAGTAGTTCACATTATTTATAAAGAAAATCCATGCTGGTTTATTCTAAGTGACAAAGAAGGGCTATGGGGGAAGAGCTGCAACACTGCACTGAGAATCAAGGAATATGCAGCTGCAGTCCCATTTCTGCCTCTTGGCAGCTGTGTTATTTTAGACAAGTGAGCATACCCTGGTTGGGGAGGGAGGGCTTTAGTCTGCTGATCTAGAAAATGAAAGGGCTAACATTAGATGATTTCTGTATCATCACCACTAGATTATCACAAAGCTTTATGCATTTTATCTCTAAACCTTGCTGCAGCCCTGCAAGACAGGTGTAATGATTTTATGATGAAATAACTGAAGTTCAGTAATTAGTGTACTAGTTAAGAACACTGTCTTTGAAATCAGACACTCCTGGATCTGAATTCTGGCTCTGTCACCAAAAAGTTATGTGACCTTGGGCAAATTAAAATTATTTAACCTCACTGAGCTTTGACTTACACATCTGTAAACTGGAAATATCTTCCTTTTAGGGTTACTGTAAGTATTACATGAGATAATCTATGCAAAGCACCTAGAAAAATGCCTAGTACATAGTAAGTGCAAAACAAATGGTAGGTCTTGCTATTACGTACTGTTCAAGGTTAGCTAAACTTGTTCAAGAAAACAAGTTCCACCCAGCTTCAAATCCTTCTATAATGCCAACCATCTAACAATGTGATCACAAATAAGTAAGTTATTTTGGTCTTATATTAAGTTGTAATCAACCCTTGATAAGATTTTAAAACTACAATTATTTGAGTTACCACTTTTTCAGGCCACAGGGAAGGCACTACTATACCAACACAAGGGAAACTCTAATGTACTTACCACCACCTCGACAGGCATTCCTTAATTCCTCAAACATCAGTTTCTCCAGAGCATCATTCACGTAGAAAACGCCTTCAACCTGGTACCAAAGAAAGTGAAAAACAATGTTTGAATACCTGTATGGCAAGCACAGGTACTGGACAGAATATAATGTATGCAATATTTTCTCTACTTTACTCTTTATGAAACACTTTCACATTACTTTAAGCATGTAGAAAACTTCCTATCAAAGACTATGAGCTGCTCCCATCTTAAAATACACCTTAAGAAGAATGTTGCAATGTTCAAAAACGGTTTTGTTTATTCTCATATTCTCAAAGCCACATTTAAGAATTTAACAGATCGAACATCTTTCTGTGTAATTAAGAAAAGCCTTCCAACTATGCTCTCACACAGCCCAAAGGTCTTAATCCTCAGGCTTCTAAGATATCAGTGGATTTTTGAAAAACAAAAACAGAAACAAAAACACCCAGATGAATAAAAAACTCAAGTTCTCATGAAGTCATCTGACTTTAGTAGTATATTTATTCTGTGTTTAAGCCAATAGCAAATTACACTTTATTGTGCTCTAGTGATGACTTACAAATCTCTAGTTAATAGTGAGAAGAAAAATTTAACATGCAGCTATGTTGTTGTGAGCTCAGTTCTATTAGCTATATAATTTAAAAAAATAATCTATAGGCCGGGTGCGGTGGCTCCCGCCTGTAACTGCAGCACTTTAGGAGGTGGAGGCAGGAGGATCATGAGGTCAGGAGTTTGAGACCAGCCTGACCAACATGGTGAAACCCCGTCTCTACTAAAAATACAAAAGTTGGTCATGGTGGCACGTGCCTGTAATCCCAGCTACTCAGGAGGCTGAGGCAGGAGAATTGCTGAACCCAGGAGGTGGAGGTTGCAGTGAGCTGAGATCGTGCCATTGCACTCCAGCCTGGGCAACACAGCAAGACTGGTCTCTAAAAATAAATAAATTTTTTGAAAACTATATAATTTTAAAGCTTGACAATAGAGGTGGAACAAAAAAGGCAACGGACGACATACTTAAGTAACAATAAAGAGCAGAACGTTTTTATCACAGGTCAAATATTTTGAAGGAGTTGTCCAGTAATGGAGAACCAAAGATTTAACACTTAATCAACTGAATGTAGTTTTTATCAGAAAGATAACTTCATCACCACTGCATAAATAACAATCCCATTGATGGAAAATGTTTCCAGTACAATTTCTTAGGGGTCACATTTATTAATTCACCGAACATTAACTGAGAATTTACTATGCATGAGGCACTGTCCTGGGCACTAGGGGAGACACAAAGGATATGACAAGATCTTGCTTTCAATGAGCTTCTAGTGTACAATACAGCCCTTATACTCTGATAAGAATATCAGAGTGTAATGAGACAAGTGCCATAATGTAAGTACACAGTGCTATGAAAAAGTCTGATGAGGAACTGGCTCAACAGTCTAGGAGGAAGCTGGGAGAGGCTTCACAGAGATCCTGCTGAGCTGGGTCTTTAAATACAAGAGACATTCACTGGTGCAGCAGAACATCTAGGAACTGAACACAAAAATGACATAAAGATGGGAGGGGAGCATTTTAAGGGAACAAAAAGAAATTTTTAGTGCAACATGTGGGTCTTGGGGGGAGAAATGAAGATTTAGTAACAGAGATGATTATCAGTGTGAAATTCACTGTTCCCATGAGGATGAATGCACAATTCATTCTTAGACGTCAATAGTGTTTTAAGAGTGATGCATCAACATTTCAAGTCTCTATTCCCGAAGGAAAGGTGGTAGTAAAGTGCTGCATACATACTTAACCCAGAACTGCCAAGCAAAATTAGACTTGCCCCTAGATAAAATGAGCAGCAGTGTGAGCATCAAAGGTTCAGTCAGAACACCTGCCAGACAATGACAGTCTGTGTTATTATATCCTACAGACGATCATGTCATGTGTGGTTTTTTTTTTTTTTTTTTGGAGACTCACTCTGTCACCCAGGCTGGAGTGTAGTTAGCATGATCATGGCTCACTGCAATTCAGTCTCCCAGGCTCAAGCAATTCCCCTGCCTCAGCCTCATAAGTAGCTACGACTACAGGTACACTCCAACACGCCTGGCTAATTTAAAAAAATTTTTTTTGTGTGTGGAGACAGGGTCCCACTATACTGCCCAGGCCGGTCTAGATGTCCTAGGCACAAAGGATCTTCCCGCCAGGCCTCCCAAAGTGATTACAGGCCGTGAACCACTGCGCTGCCCCAAGTTAGATTTTCTATTCCTATTCCTTCCTTCAGGGTATCGGTTTCCACACAAAGTAAATGGCCAAACAGGAAACAGAACATATATTAATCTCTGTGGGCTTTTTCTCCCCTCAGTGTAAGTGACCTGCCAACAAGGGAAACTCAATAAGCTTTGATTCTGAATAAAAGAGTGGAGTGGCTATGGGGAACTGTTTACCAAGACGGACTTGGCACCTTCAGGGATTTCAAAAACTATTTAAAAATAAGTTGCAAAACTTCACAAATGTTTTCTTTTTTCACATTAATAAAAAGTATGAACACAGATGGTGATGAAGCCTGAAAGATACAGAGCCCAGGCTTTCAACTATCTGATGATCCTGAGCCCTCAAGTCTCCATCTGGGACGTCAGAGGAAAAAGTAGTGAACCAGGCATCAAGTCCTGGCTAAGATTCTTCCTAGGTGGGTAGAGGAAGCTGTGTCACTGACAGATCCTCGAGGTCCTTCTGCGAAGTGAGTATTAAAAAAAGCCCTGCCCTGTGCTACTGCAAGAAAAGATATCGCTTTATTAAAAACCAACATGGAAGACTGAATGCTGAAAACTTGGTTCAGTGAACAAAGGTCCGTAAACGTTATATAAATAACCAGCATGACTCAGAGGAGGTGAATTCCAGTCCCAGCAATGGGACCCGGGGCTGGCTGTCCCACGTTGGAGTCCCACCTGAAGTTTCTGAAGACCAGGAACGTAAACGAAGCGTTTGCGAGACTCATCTATGAAAACGCTTTGGAAACCCCAATTTCGTATTTATTTGGCTTCCCATACACATCGCACTTAGGCTGTCCTCGTGGTTCGGGGACCTCTCCTGGTGGGATGTCCTGAGCCCTCAAGTCTCCATCTGGGACATACAGGCTGGGCAGTCCCAGAACCGTGAGGGGAGAAAGAGGGGATGAGGGAAACTTTGCAAGGGACGGGGGTGGACCCAGTGGTCGAGACAGGTCCGGAGGGCGCGGTGGACGCCGGCCGGGCGGGGAAGGAGCAGGGAAGGCCCAACCATTTGCTCTTCCGCCTCACCTGCATGTTGGGCACGAAGCCCTTCTTGATCCTCCAGCAGTTTTTATTGATTTTTTCCAAGAACTGCAGCTCATCATTATAGTTGCGACTCATGGCGGCGACAACGGTAGCTACACGGGCTCCGCTTTGAAGAGCCGCCGCCGCGTTGTCCGGCTTTCCACAGCACCGCTCTCCAAGAACCACAGCGCAGGCGCGACCAGTGACGCAGCGGGATGAGCGACGGCAAGCGTCGAGGCTCGAAACTCTTCAGGCCAATGTCTTTCCTCTGGTTAAGTTATACTGTCCTCTAGTGTTTCCCTTTGGGATCTTTTTTTTTTTTTTTTTTTAATTTTTTTACTGCAGAACAGGCTGTATTATTTACATTGTGACTAGGAAACCAGTCCCTCTTTTTCCAGAAGAAAATCATCATTCTATTTTATTTTTATTTTTTTCTTAATTTATTTAAATTTAGGTGCATACTATATCTGGCATTTCTCCCCATGTTATCCCTCCCCTCCCTCCCTTTGGGATCTTTATTAGTCAATTTCCTCTAAGCTACAGCTAAGCGAAATCCAGGAGTTTTTAGTTTTGTTTTGGAAATGCTTTTCAGCAGCTTATGAAAACACCTTGAGTCTGGGTGAGGTCCAGTGCATCAGCTTGGAGTTTATACCCCCAGCAAGGAGAGGAAACAGATAAGCCGGCAGCTGAGAAAGAAAACTTGTTTGAATAAATACCATAGCTGAACATTTATGTTTCAGAATGAATCTGGATATACATCAAATAACCTTTTTTTTTGTCAGAAAGAAGCATCCCAAAGAATGAAGTATGACAGCTTATCATTTATTCCAACAAACACTTGTGGTTGCATCTATTATGGCCAGACGTGTACTACAAAATGATCAAATCACAGCCCTTATGGATCACCAGAACTCCCAGTCTAGCCTCCTTTGATGATCAAGACCTCTTTGATCATGCTTGTATAAGCCATGTCTCTTGTTCATAGTGATAAGCGAGCTTTAAGTGATTTCAGTTTCGAGTCCTGCCTCATGTAAACAACTGCAACTTTGGGATTAGAAAGACTTGGATTCAATTTCTATTTGTGCCATTTATTGGCTTGGTGTGATTAACTCCTCTTGTCTCTGTTTCGTCATCTCTAAAATGGGATCGTAATTCTTTCTTGAGTAGAAGACTAAATGAAGTGACACAGGAGTGGTAATCAGCACAGGTAATCAGCACTGGAGGGGTAATTGGCACATGGCAAGCACTCCATACACAACACTCCTCCTTCCATTCCCCTACTAGACTGTAAGTGCTGCAAAAATAGTTTGTGGTTGCCATTCATTTCTTACATTATCTGCTCTGGTTCTGCTTTGCTTCTCTTCTGCCCCGATTTCTCCCTATTGATTACGTGCTATGACACATTATCAATCATGGATTGTTTGAGTTTAGTACTCTGCACTGCCATTTCATTGAATCTGTTGAGGGTGAAAAATCCTAAAACTTGAAGTGACGCAACTTCTAGAGTTTCCCGTGGTTACCCTGTTTCCTTCTGGAAAGATTTCAGAGGTAAAGAATTCTCTTTGAAAATCAAGCCTTGACATCTGTACAACCTCGGTTTCTTTGCTTTTCTATGTCATATTTTATTTTTAAAAACTTCAGGGCAGGATATTTCTCAAATTAGAAAAAGCAAGATTGAAATTGATAGAAAACAATTTTAATTAAACACAGAAGACAGTAACAGTGAATATAAAATGTGAAATCCAATATGCAGACAGGGGAAAACCCACAGAGGGCCTAAGGGATCTCCACTGAGAATGACCAATACAAACACAGGCTTATAGTTTCTTACCCACCTGGTCAGAAGTACATGCCTAGCTCTTGTCCCAAGCAAACATAAAGAAAGGCACACACAGCATACTTACACTCACATTCAGACACCTCTATTTGGCCCTTTAACACAGTCTGCCTTAACTAGGTTCCTGAAGGCTTGAGAAGGAAAACTTTCTGCCTAAGCAATTCACAAGGGCTTTACAATTCTAGTATGTAGTGTCTTCCCTTCTGGGTTTACAGTAGCTTTGGGATTAAGGACCATTTGCTGCCTGGGGTGAATCGTAAACCAGCAATCAAGGGGCTCACTTCCCCCTCCACCATCCATTTATCAGGTTCAGACCTTCCCAACCATGGAAACTTGGATGCTGCTTTGAAGATGTTTCATACTTCAGGTCGGTGGAAATCAAAAGGAAACCCTGAAAAGAATGTGACAATGAAGATAATGTCAAACCTTGGGCATGTAAGAGTTTGTCTGAGGGGTGAGGAAGAGGTGGTTTCTTTTTCTATCATTTTATTTTTTATTTTTTGAGACCAAGTCTCACTCTGTCGCCCAGACTGGAGTGTGGTGGTGCAATCTTGGCTCACTGCGACCTCCCCCTCTTGGGTTTGAGTGATTCTTGTGCCTCAGCTTCCTGAGCAGTTGGAACCACAGGTGTGCACCACCTGGCTAATTTTTCTATTTTTAGTAGAGATGGGGTTTCGCCATGTTGGGCAGGCTGGTCTCAAGTTCCTGACCCCAAGTGATCCACCCACCTCAGCCTCCCAAAGTGCTAGGATTACAAGTAGAGCCACCATGTCCGTCTAAGAGATGGTTTCTTTACCAGGTCCTACAGAGTCAGGCCCTCCTCTACCGTTGCCCTGCTTTGTTAACACCCCAGACAAAGGAAAGGCCATTTTGGAGTACTGTCACCTGATGTGACTTAGCTATTTAGAAGCAGTAGAGAGAAGCAGGGAGGTGAGAGGGCATGCACAGTAGCATAGGGCAGCAGCCCCCAGCCTTTTTGGCACCAGTGACAGGTTTCATGAAAGACAGTTTTTCCACTGGGATTGGGATTGGGGGTTAGTTTCGGGATGAAACTGTTCCACCTCAGATCATCAGGCATTAGTTAGATTCTCATAAGGTGCTTGCAGCCTAGATCCCTCGCACACGCAGTTCACAATAGGGTTTGTGCTCCTATGAGAATCTAATGCTGCTGCTGATCTGACAGGAGGCAGAGCTCAGGCGGCAACGCTCACTCCTCAGCCACCCACCTCCAGCTGAGCAGCTGGATTCCTAACAGGTCACAGACCCGGACAGGTCCTGGGCCTGGGTATTGGGGATCCTTGGACTGTACAGGATTGGAGAATTTCTTTAGAAACATATTTCCACCTCCCTAAACAAACAACAATGCCAATAAGAAAGAAAAAAAGGTATTCTGAAGTTAATTCATAAGATTAGCCAGACCAGAAAACAGTTTGATCCCTGAACTCAGAAGTGTGTCTTTGGTTCAGGAAAAAGTCATCTGACTGGGAGAATCGGAAGAGCCAGTCCTGTCCCAGCCACACTCTGTCCAGCTGCCTGAGCTGCTTCTCTCTGAGCCCTACTTTCCTCATCCGTAAAATGGGACTAATAATCCCAGCCTTACAGGTTGTCTTATGGAATAAGTAAAATAAAGCATGCTAAAGGGCATCTTCTTAAACTGTGGATTTGGCTGCTAAGTGAAATTGATCTTGGTCTGATTTTTAAACTCAATTATAAATGCTTTCTGTTAATTGTTATTTAAGAGTTAAACATGTTTATAAAATTCCTTGGTCTGGGAAAAAGCAAAGCAGGGCAAAAATCAACAACAACAACAAAAACAAGCAAAACAGGAGGAGGCTTAGTCTGCTATGAAAAGAAATGGGTCAGTTAAGAGGTGAGATTTGCATTCTTACCTCAAAAACTTCAATATCTGAATTGACGAATGAAATTTTGTGTGGATTGGGCAGAGGAAATCCTTGCTGCAATTTTGCTGAAATATAGAACAAGATGTAAAATAATTGGGGACAAGCACAGAGGTTTTATAAAGCTTTTTAGAAAGAGACTGACTGATAGCTTTTTTTTTTTTTTCTTTTTCTTTTTTTTAAGACAGAGTTTTGCTCTTGTTGCCCAGGCTAGAGTGCAATAGCATGAACTTGGCTCACTGCAATCTCTGCCTCCTAGGTTCAAGCAATTCTCGTACGTCTGCCTCCTGAGTAGCTGGAATTACAGGTGCCCACCACCATCCCTGGCTAATTTTTTTTGTATTTTTAGTAGAGATGGGGTTTTGCCATGTTGGCCAGGCTGGTCTCGAACTCCTGACCTCAAGTGATCTGCCTGCCTCAGCCTCCCAAAGTGCTAGGATTAAAGGCGTGAGCCACCGCACCCAGCCCAGACAGCTTTTTAATAGTTGATCTTTTCATTGTCTCTGGTTCCACATTTGCATTCTCTCTGATAATGTCCTTAGAATTTTCCTGGAAGAATTGCTCATTAATCCATGATTAATAAAAATGCACCTACAATTATGTTCATTTGGACAGCAGAGAAATGCTGTCCATTTTTAAACTGCCCAATGTATATTGTGAAAATACCTAATTAGTGAGTCTTGAGAACATCTGGTGTCTAATATAAAAAATATTTTCACTGCACCAGACTAAAGATGCTACAGTTTGTGAACAACTGCTGTGCAAGGAGAAGGGCCAGGATTGTCATTCATGAAAACTGTGTCTATCCAGTTAGGGGTCCATGCATAAGAACGACATAAATATCCTGTAGGGAGAATGATCTCATTTCCCATTGACTGGAAGGAAAGTCTTTACTGCCTAAGGAGCGTGCTTTCAATCTCCTTAACTCAACCAGAGTTAGCCAATTTTGCTGAGTTTGCAAATAGAATTGCTAACTGGGCTTGGACCTAGAATAACTAATTGTGCAACCATGTCATTGATGGTACAAACTTTGCAAATTCTGACGCTGGCCTGGATTCATTACAACATGATAGATGTACAAGCTTCAGGCTGGAAAGTCCCAAACAATCCCCAGTGCAGCCGATGCAGATGTTAGATATTAGCCGATGTTAGTCACGTTGTTTCCCAATAATCCCTTACCATTGGCCAGCGGGAGGACTCCAAAGTGAAGAATAGAGGACAAAATATTTTCAAACCTCAAGACCTAAAATAAAAGAGGAAATAGAATCAGTTGCCAAATCGGGCTTTTTTTTTGCTCTGTTACCCAAGCTGGAGTGTGGTAGAGGCTCTCTCTAGCCTTGAACTCCTGGGCTCAAGCGATCCTCCTGCCTCAGCCTCTCAAGTAGCTGGGACTACAGGTGTGCACCACTACAACTGGCTAAGTTTAATTAAAAAATTTTAGAGGCAGAGTCTCACTATGTTGCCCAGTCTC